GACATGGTCGATGAGCAGAAATGATAACAATCATGATAAGAGCTTAGATCAAACCAACAGTCGACACAACGATTGAATACGAGAAATTGGTAATGAAAAATAATTCCGGAAGCACGTCTGTGATTAAAGCCTTTTTAATAGAGTCAGTGCTAATTGCCCGAAAGGAAAAGTATCGAGCATGTAAAATCTCGAAGGGTAAAAATTTTGAAAATCGGAAATCTAGAAAAAAATCTCGAAAATTTAGGAAATATCAAAAATGTAAATTGTAAAAGCAATTTGAGTACTTGTTAGATACATGGCTTATTAATCATGAGTTTGTTGCAGAAGTATAAAAATACAAAAATAAAGAGGATATTTATACATCATTGGCTATTATGTGGTGTTTTATCGCTTTAGCTAAACAGTAAAATTAGCACCAAAGAAACATGACAAGTAGCATGATCATAAGAAAAAATTCAGTACTATTTCAAAAATCACTTCTTCGCTTTCATGTCATTTTGATAAGTAACGGTAAACTTTGAAGATTTTCTTACGAATCAACATCCGCATTTTGAGATCTTGACGATTAGGGCATGAGTGTCAATGTCAAATGTGATTACCGGATGTGAATGAACTAATGGTTCACATTCAGGGTTACTACCATCAAGACCGATACCCAAATTCGTGCATACATGAAACTATGCCCAAACCGGTACTATCACTTGAAGAAATATGACTCATCAGTCAGCGGAACTCCACTGGGACCGTTGTAATGAAAGATGGTTTTCAGCAGAAATATCCTCTTTTTAATTGTTTTACGCACTTTCCAGATTTTGCAGTTCGATATTCTGCATTTCAAGATTTTGCTCATTCACGATGTTTTCTTTTCTGCTTTTCTTATCGAAATTTTTCCTTCAATCTTTTGATTTTCGATCAATAAGCACTCACACTGAATTGGGACGTACTGAGAGTGGGAGTGTGGGCGCGGCAGAAGAGAAGACCAGACTCAGACCTACACCCCACACCCACACACCCTTGTTGATACTTGTTCTGTTCACTTGTCGTAAAAAATCAAATGATATTTCATTAGTTCTCGATTTTATAAAGAAAATCATATTCAACTTTGAAAATTTTGGATACATTGTCAAAAGCTATTCAACCAATTGTCACACTTCTAATATACTTTATGAAGGAAAACAATATTGAAACTTTGATAGATCATAGATATTTTTATACAAAACTTAATCCATTAGAATTACAATATTGGTAATTATATTGAATCAAATCAATGGTATTATAAATTGACTGATGATCATAATGATTCGATTATTTGATCAAACTTTCTAATTTTACAACAAATCCCTTTATTGTTTAACGTCATCTTCTTGTTATTTTATTATGATAGACAATGCAAATATAGATTCATATAGTGTACATTCTAAATAAGATCTGAATGAGATTCACACATTGATATTAATTAACTAAACAATACAATTGCAACTTTATCAAATGAAATGAATAATTTACAAATCGTTGCAAATTTCTGTACATAAGTAATTCAATTTCATTTCAAATATGATTCAAAAACTACGTTGTCTTATGAACTTTTTCAATAATTATATATTTATAAGGAACTTATTGACTTCTGTGCTAATCTTCTTAATATTTTTGAACAAAAACAATGTAAATCGATATTAAAATAAAATGCTAGCTATCTCTATTACACCTGAACTTGTAATATTCGATGAACTGACGATAATTTAAATGAACGAACAAAGAAACAATTATGCAAAATGAACGTAAAACAGTTTCTCTGAATGATACATAATTAGGATCTAAGTTTTAATAAAGTTTCGAAATTCTTCTTTCCATTTATGGTTAAAAAGTCGACAGATATCCAACGTTTCCAGTAACTGCTTTCTCAACACTATTACATATTCAGTTGGCTGAAATTAGTCAAGGTGAGGCAAACAGCTACTGATTGATTGATTCACGGTGCTACTACAAAAATCAGCAATCCAAATATAAGTTGCAACGATACAAATATTGTTTTATATAAAAATGGTATACACACGAAAAGCTTTAGAATTTATAGAGACAATGTTATAGATATAGAATGTGAATCTCAAGTTCACTCACATCCACCTTTATGTAAAGTTCATTTGATACACAGATATATACTCTACGTGTCATCCCATGTTTAGATAAATACATAATATAGCAAAGAAGAATGTTAAACTCGTTGTTAAAGTTCACTTGTGGTGAAAATCTAAGTTTAATGCGTAACATTTCTTTATTTCTATATTACTTACATGCAAGTAAAATCATTTTCATAAATTTTGAAGAAAACTCTGTATTACTTCTTCTGTATATATTCAAGTGGAGAATAAACCATTAATACTGCATTGACATCACTACCTTTTTATGACTACTGAAATCTAATATATTTTATCATTGGATTTTTTCCTTTCTTTATACAGTATGGTTACATATAAAATCTATATCAAAGTCACATTACCTCTTATTTGTCTTCAATTCGAAAACAATCTTATCAAACAGTATAAAATATAACATTCTTTAGTCGTTGACTGTGTCTTCGATCTATACTACAAACTCATCCTCAAAATTATACTACTGAACATTCACCATGCAGCAATTTTTACAATTTTCCCAACAGTTGAACCATGGCATGACCAATAGAAGAAATCATAATTATAGATACCGTGGACGAAAAAACAAACGGAAACGCTTCATAAACTGTATAAAAACTGTACTGAAATATAAAAAGAAAAAGAAAACATTGCTATCAATGCAAAAACCATTATGGTGTA